TATTAAGCACAAAACTATGCAAAGGGCTATCCGTGCTCTTCCCACTAAGGGTATCAAAACTCAGTTAATAGTGTCTGGTTCCCCTTTTCAATTTTAATAGCCAGCTCTACATAACATTTTCATTTAGCAATATTTTTTTCCCTTATACTTGTAAATATTCGTGTAGACACTGTGGCACATCTGCTGTAAGGTGTGGACCATACACCATGTCCACACGTATTTCTTGGCCCAATATTAGCAAGTTTGGTGGACAACCTGTCAATTTCTGCTCTGTTGCATGATATACCATCACGATATACAGTGTTTATCTCAGTCAGTTTGGTTTAACAAACTTTGCCAGCATCTGCTTGGTAGTCTGTATTATCCATTCTGCCAAACCACAAGACGTAAGGTCTCTGGGAGAGAACCAGCAATAACCAAGACCAAAGCGAGTTTGGGTCCTTCATTTGCTTTTCCAGGAGCTCCTGAAGCATCATTTATAGTATAAATCCACTAATGGACTCATCAAATACCATACAGTTCAGCATCACTGGTATTGCAATGACTTTTACACCCATTTGGTGTCCCAAAATCAAGACAATCAAAGCATTAAATGATCTATTTTCTAATTGGAAAGACAATCCATTGGAATTTTGTGGGCCCAGTCAGTGATATTTAACAAAGTTACTCATGAAATATGCAAGAATGAATAATATTTTCTTGGACATCGTAACACTGGAGCTTCTACTAGTCCTATTTAGTGAATGAAATGCGTGGTTAGCTCTCAATCCACCTAAAATGTGTAATAATTTTGGAGAAATTGACAAACAATCGTAAGTAATAAAATGTGAAACTTAGAAAACTGTGGATCTCTCATTTCATCATTGGTTGAGACCAATCTCTGAACACTGCAATATTTACAGGTTCCACCAAATCTCTTTCTATAGTATGACCAAGGAATGCCACTTGGTAGAGGGGATCCATCTCCAAGATCAGAGACAATTTGTAGATGTGGTCCATCTCCAAGATTAGAAACAATTAGCATCTCTGTTCACATCTATCCAACCACCATTCGTCAGTATAAATTGGCTGGAAGGGTAGCTTCACTTATGCTTTATATACATCTAGTATGATTTCATATTACATTGAAGTTTCTAAAGCAGTCTTACATAATAGCACGTTTGTCGACCGGAAAAAAAACAAAACTTATGAATACAAACAAGTGCTTCAATAGAGTAACTGTTGACACACAGAATTAGTTGCACAGTAAGGGCACGTGTTTCATTCAAAGCAGACAATTACCAGTTATAATACACTTTCAGATTAGCTTTTATAATTAGATAAATTGCATTATACAACCTGAACTTAAGGTTGATCAATTTCTGTGTGTTTAGGTTAGTTTTTACATTTATCACCAGCACACTAAATACGCAACAGACATGCGCACTCCTTCACATGTGATTATGAAATTGGACTACTTACTAATTGTTCATAGTTAAATACAAAGCTACACAATGGGTTCTGTGCCATGCCCATTAGGGGTATCAAAACATGACTTATAACGTCATAAGTCTGCAGATTTTTTATTGTGCTACTGGGATGGGGAAATATGTTCTAAAAGAATGCAATAAAATTTTGAGTACCAAAAAATGGCTCGTGGTCTAACAATAGAACCAGAAAAATCTATGAAAACTTTAGCCATACAACTATAAAAAATAAAAATAACAGGATGCTTAATTTCATGCAGTAATTAAAACATAGTAGTGGTCAGAATGTGCATTGTTTTCTTATAGCAAAGCCACATTGGGATATCTGCTGTCCACTGAGGGGAATCAAACCTCTGATTCTAGCATTGTAAAGCTGAAGACTCACCATTGTTCTACTAGTGACAAAAGTACATTTAAAAACGTAGATAACACAAGAAATCAGACATTAAAATGTAATCCACCATTTCATACATAAATATATGAAGTTTAAAAAGTCAGGTGGCAGACAGTTTCATAACTTATTCATGAGAAGATACAACACATTTATTATAATTTTGTTTTTTTAAATCCAGCAAATATAGAAGATTGATGAAGTCTTTTTCCTACAAGTTTTATACATTTAATGACTTATTACATCATATCTGATTTCATTGTACACCTGTTAATTTAATAAATTCTGATTCGGCATAGGTGAATTTAATAAATTTATTAGATGAAGAAATTGGACAGGTGTAAGTTATCTACTTATATATTTAATAAAAAGTAAGATATTTGTTTGTTTGAAATTAAGCACAAATCTACACTGTGGGCTATCTGTGCTCTGCCCGCCACGGGTATCGAAACCCCGATTCTAGCATTGTAAGTCCGCAGCTGTGCCATTGGGTGGTGAAGGAAGATGCAATTAATAGTGTACTCAATCATAACTCTGATCCTGTCAATCATGTTTAAAAATTACGTAACCATGATAGAAAAAATATCTTTTCATATCGCCGATTGGGATATGACAAACAGAAGTTGTGGTGATGTTGTATATTACCAAATTGCATGAACAACTGTTATGGTGTGAATTAGATCATTTAGTTAAGTGTAATTTAAAATAATTCATTAATTACTAATCAGAATTACAGTACAAGTTAATAACACAATATTATTTACTTATGATTCCACAAGAAGTAGGGGTCAATCGAAGCAGTAGACAAAGTGATAATTACTGACCACAAAAACACCTAACTAATAAGTACCAGTTTAAGACAATTTTACCAAGAACGATATTCACAGTATGAATGTAAACATAAACTACTAACAGATATCGAGAGGTCATCAATTTATGTTAGAGTCATGTAAAGTTACACAGCTCTCAAACTAAGACACAAAAATATCAGCATCATTAAAATGTGACGTTTGTCTAACAAGAAAGAAAATCTAGTAGGCAAGGAATGTTTTCATGGGCAGGTCAAGATTTAGGTCAACAAACAAGGGCATGACATTTAAACATGGAGCAAGTGTGAAAGCTAATAAACTCAGACAACAGCTTGCTCCT